AGGCACTCTTCCTTTAAGATGGTTATATGAGAGGTTTAGTCGCTCGAGTTTCATGAGATTTCCAAGTGACTGAGGAATCTCCCCTGACAACTGATTATGACTCAGGTCTAATATCACTTGAAGTTCAGTAAGCTGTTCTAGCTCATCAGGTATTTTACCTGTGAAGAAGTTGTCAGAGAGTCGAAGCTCGAATAGCTTCTGAAGATGCTGGATTTCTGAAGGAATGTTTCCAGATAAGTTGTTGCCCTGCAGATTAAGGACATTAAGGGATGACAGGCTTCCTAATTCTGGAGGTATTTGGCCAGACAACTTGTTGGTATAAAGAGCGAGTTTGAGTAATGCAGAACAGTTTCCAAGCTCTTTTGGTATTGTTCCACTGAAATTATTAGAAGACAGATCAAGCTCTCCTAACCCTTTCAGATTCCCTAACCAAGTAGGAATTTTTCCGGAAAACTGGTTATCGTTCAGCATGAAATGCTCGAGTTTTGTGGAGTTGGATAGACTAACAGCTAGCTCTCCTGACAAACTGTTGGAAGATAAATCAAGGGAAATAAGCTCTTTAAGAAGGGAAAACTCAAGAGGTATATTTCCAGTGAGAGTGTTTCCTGCAAGGCGAACACGGATGAGGTTTTTGGACAAGGCTAGCCTAGAAGGGATTGAACCAGAGAAGCTATTATTAGTCAAGTCTAATACTGTAAGAGAGGTTGAACCAGTTAGTGGATGGATGCTTCCATTTAGCTTATTATGGGATAGATTGATGATTTTAAGGTTTTTTAAGAGGAATAGAGATTCGGGTAAAGGGCCTTCAAGGGAGTTATTATAAAGGGTGATAAGACTTAGCTCTGACAAAGAACTGAATGTTGATGGGATTGACCCGGATAATTTGTTATCTGCTAAGGCCAACATTTCGAGCTTGGTGCAGTCACCCAAGGAGGGAGGAATTTTCCCTGATAGCTCATTTTGCCTCAAGTGAAGCAAAACTAAGTTTTTAAGCATCCCAATTGTTTCAGGAATCGAGCCAGAAAAATGGTTTCCGAAGAAATCAATCTCTGTGAGGCTAGTACAGTTTGTCAATTCTTTCGGAATGTTACCTGACATGTGGTTATCATACAGGTAGATGACACTTAACTTATTGAGCTTCCCTATTTCTGCCGGAATTTCTCCTGTGATCCCATTGCCATACAAGGAAAGGAACTTCAGGTTACTCAAGTTGCCAATCTCAGGAGGTAGCTTCCCACTGAAGCTGTTGTTGTTAAGATAAAGATCGGTGAGGTATGCCAGTTTATCAATCTCAGACGGTATCTCCCCTTGGAATTTGTTGTCAGAAAGGTCCAACTGTTGGAGAGAAAAACAGCTCAACAACTCCAAGGGAAATTTTCCTGAGACACCATTTCTTGCAAGAGAAAACATCTGCAGCTTTGAATCATTCATGCAGAAGCTCGATGAAATGTCACCAGCTAAATGATTATCCGAGAGGACAAGAACCTCGAGGTTCTTCATTTTTGAAGTGAAGAGATTGAGAGGTCCTGAGAGATTATTTCCTGATAAGTCTAGCTTTTGTAGCTGACTTAACAGGTTAAGTTCCGAGGGGATAGCACCACTTAATCTGTTTCCGAGCAGATTCAAGTAATTCAGTTCTTGCAAACTTCCCAGCTCAGGAATCTTACCAGAAAAACTATTGTTGGCTAAGTTAAGGACTTGTAATGAATGAAGCTTACCAATTGATGCAGGTATATCGCCTTGGAGCATGTTGTTGGAGGCTGCAAAATTCTGTAGCTTATCACATCCACCAATATCACTTGGAATAGGGCTTGTGAGAGCATTCTGTTGCAAATCGAGAGACTCCAAGTTCTTCAATTTTCCTATCTCAGATGGGACACTTCCATTCAACAGGCAATAAGAAAGGCCTAGAACTTTCAGTTCAGTCAAGTTGCCAATACTTTTGGGGATCTCCCCACTAAGCAGGTTGTCCCCAATCCTAAGAACCTCCAACTTTGGAAGAAAACCGAGCTCATGAGGAATCTTGCCAGAGAGAGAGTTGGTGTATAGGAAGAGCTCTCTTAGATTCTCAAGCCGGCCAAGCTCACTGGGAATAGGGCCAGAGAGAGAATTTATTGACAAGTCAAGAGTCTGAAGAGAAGATAGATGTGAAATATCAGGTGATATAACACCAGAAAGCCCGGAACTTGAGAGGTTCATGCCTATAACATGAGCTTGATCAAGTGAACATGTAAGACCATTCCAGCTGCAGATATTTGTTGCAGAAGACCAGTTGCTGAGAGCATGATCAGGATCAACAAAACTCGATTTGATCCTTAAAAGCCAATAAGAATCAACCAAGCTCTCAGCCGAGGTGGTAGAAAGAAAAATACTGAAGATAACATAGAAATAAAACATCAAATGAGACATCTTAATGATGTCCATTTATAGGAATTATGCTTTCAGAGCTATTACAGCAGAAAATTTTGCATTATATAGCTCTTGAATGGATGAAACAGTGGCTAAAAATGGAAAGAAATAGATTTTGGATTATGAGTAAGATGATGAAGGCTCTAAGAGAAGGTATATATGATTATATATGCATTGAGGTCATTGCACTGAAATTGAGAGAGGCTTTTAAGAGAATTTTTTTGGTTGTTTAAGAATATGGGGTAAGTAGGTTCAGTTTTATTCTTCTGTCATGTTGGAATTTTGTCCATGCATTTTTCTGAAAGTCAGAAAAATCATGAAAAGAAGTATGGAGTTTTAGGATAGGAATATGCTTATTGTTTAAACATATAAAAAGAGAGTTTAAAGGCCCACTCTAAAACCTAAGAAGGAATGTGATGTTTCTATAATTAATCATATAAGATGTATTTCTTCTAGTTTATGATTACAAAAGTATTTGCCTTGATAAGATTCCACTAACAAAAAAATTAACATAAAAAATAATTTGACTTTAAATGGAATGAGGTCATTTTAAGAAATCAAACATAGTCAAAACTGAATTATTATAAAGTTGTAAATATATCTTTCAAGCATAATACTACAAAGGAGTAGGATGATTAATTATTAAAACCATGAAAAGTTTGACTTCTGTTGAGTTTTATAGATCTAACCAAAAAATTTATTCTCCTCAACCTCAACTAATACCCACCTAATACCATTTTAAAAAGGGGGTAAAATCACAGAGAAAATAGTAACCACTTCCAATTTTCATGTTTAAGACAGTGTTATTCATAATAAAAGCCATATACCATGTGAAGTGTGAAGATTTTTTGTTCCAGTTAGTAGAGAAAAATGTTTGTTTGGTCCAACCAAGAGATAAAAATTCAGTAGGTTAGAAGAGAAACTAATTTTTATACCAGTTGCATAAAAATCAAATTAGGCGTGTTCTCGTCACTTAAACTTACCTTATTATCTTGATTAGCCTTAATTTTACCCTATGTTTACACCTGATTGGACCTAATAAACCCTGATTAGTGATTACTTATGAAACTTATTTTTTAAAAGGTGAACATAATGCACCCAAGGCAAGGATAATTTCAGCATTATGTAGAGCTTAACATAAACAAAATTGTGTTTTGACAAATGAGAAGGATAATTTCGCCTTTTTGTCAAAAAAAAAAAGTCACCCTATAATATTACAATTATATAAGTCATAAATTTTCACCCACTTAATCGAGTCACTCCCACTTTTCAATAAAAGTCACCCTTGTCTTACCATACAATTATATGACTGTTATTACTAATCAAATTAAGGCCGGTGTGGTTGACTTGATTATGAGGCGGTTTGAAGCTCCCCTGCTCTTCAAAAATTGGACAATATACAATCTTCAAACATTAAAAATCAGGTTTCAATGGATTAAGAAATGAAACTTTGGTAATTTAGGTGTATAATACACATTGACTTATCATAAATATGAAAATTATACTCGACCCTAGTTGAGACAAATCAGAAAATACCAAAGATTATAATCATAGAGTTAACAAAATAAATTATCCTCAAATGGTTTCTGCCAAATACCTTTGACACAATTATGTCAATGATCTGGACCTCTATCATATTTATATTAAGAGATTCTGATTTATGTAACTACTCTGAATATCTCCAATTCATTGTTATTCCTCTATCTGAAGAATACAAGGGAGTATCAACAAATTAGCACCAAACCAGTGTTTTTTTAATTCCAATGTATTGACTATGTAATATAATATAAGTTGGAATTGATTTTTTGGGTTGAATTAAAATTTATATAATTAATTTATACAGCATAATGCAGTCAATGTGTAGTTTATGAATTAGGGCCTTAGGGGGAGATGTTAACTGCGAGTAGACAAGTAGTTGCAGAACCTGTGAGTGCAATCAGTTCTTTATATCCTACATCAGAAGAGGGTGAAAATGTGACTCTTGACGCGAATTTTCATTGTCTTGTGATGTTTGAACATCGAGTTGTAGGAAGGCTTTCACAATCCGCGCCCTCCTGTCCAGCAGACAGTTTGTGCTTATTAGTAATGATGCAAAGTGATTTCTCAAGGGCGAAAACAGAGGTAGTTTTTCAATAGAACTAAGAAAAAAAACACAGAAAGAACTGATTAGCAGGCTTAGCTTTGTGCAGTTCTTTATTCTTGTTCATAGTATATAAAAAGCTTCAGCACTCTCTGAAGTCTGAACTATATATCAGCATGATTTTCAGACTTTAGGTTTATTAACAGGCTAAAGTTATGCGTTTGGTGAAAGAAAATATGTCTTCGTGTTGATCGTTCCTCAAATTATTCGAGGAACAATGAATTTGTGCATCTATACATTAAGGCACAGAGGACTGAAAAATAATTAGGACAGTAATTTCCAAAGGGACCAAAATAGAAAGTACAACAGTCAAAAGTGAAATGGAGGTAGTATATCACATGTATCATCATGATACTGGAAGAAGCACAGCTAAAACACACAATGTAGGAAAAAAGGTCTTTGAATCATCATAAGTATTATGCATTTATGCCAGTGCCCATATAATTGCATTATTCATAAGGCCTAACTTTGAAATACATGTTATCATCATATCATAGTGCTCCCTAAAGAGAAGCAAATTTTAGGTACAATGTACAAGTGAGCCTTCAGAAAGATCTACACATGCCTATCAGGAGTTCCAAACATGAACACACAGCAAGCGTGATAAAAACAATCACAGTTCGGTAAATATGAAGCTTCTATGGGTGATCAGAGGCTGAGGAAGCACCATGAGAAAAAATGAACATAAAGATCCATAATTTGATCCTGCAGAAAGCTTAGTGGTAAAGAATAAAGAATGTATGTTTCATAATGTTGAGTATAAAACCCAGTCATTTGTAACAAAGTAATTATATAAGCAATGTTACAATCCCTTTCATTTTCCTCTTTTTTCTAATTTTGGAGTGTTCGGCGGAGTAATGCAGCAGCATATAAAGCTGTCGTAATGAATACACTAAACCCTATTACTTCCTATCTCAAGTAATTTATCTAAGCTCAAATCTTAGGCATGATCTGCGCATAATGCTGTAATTTAAAATTTTTGAACCAACTTCTCCCCATTGATATCTAGTCATTTTCAAGCTAATGACAGGCTGCAGGGCTGTAAGCTCAAATCATGCATTGAAAATCTTTATTTCAGGGGTACCTCATTGCTCCAAAATGGAAGATGGAAAAAACCTCATAAGAAAGTTAGAGAGAGACCAAATGCAGATGAGGCCAAGAATTTGGAGGACACTCAACAGAGTGCCCAAGGAATTATTAATGGCCAAGTTGTGTGCAGTCATCTCAGCTCCTCTTACAGTGAAAGATAGAGCAGTTACCAGTTGTGTGGCTCGATTTAGTTGATGTAATCTATACACCTGTTAGATATCATTCAGCTAATCGTCAGTCCCCCAAAAAGAACAAAGTAAAAAAAAAATTGAACAAAAGAAATTACAAGATTTATACAGTTGCAAATTTGTAATGTGCTGCAAAATTATATGAATCCCCAAGTCACTAGAAATCTACCTCCTTCTGGGGTTCTAAATTATCTTAGCATGAAACATGAGCCATATATCTGTTACAAATAATTCCTCTATAATACGAATTAACTCACAGATACGTAACTAAGGTAAATTTGTCTCCTAAAAAGCATTAAAAAAAAAAAGAAAAACAAAACAATATTAATGGACAGAGTACTTCACCTGAAATACAACTGGAATGACAAGCCAAGAAGGTGACTTTGTATACTTCGCATACTGCTCGAATGCAAACTGTACAACAATACCAACCAAGTAGGGAGCTAGTGCAGCAGATGCTGCAGGTCCCGTCCAAGGCCAAACAAAACCCATAGTCACCATTGGAATAATAAGACTGAGCATTAGAATAGCAACTGAAGAAATCCGATGTCCCATCTGGGTGGTTAGCTTTCCATAGTTGCTGGTAGCAGGAACTTTGTTACCAGGGCTCCAGAGGGAGTGAATAAGAAGAAGAAAACTGCAACCCCGCAGTAGAAGAGAGCCTCTGTGAAAAAAAGTATGAGGAAATCTGCAAGAAAGAGAGGAAGAGAATTAAGTAGTGTATCAGATGAGCATAAAGAGAAATATTGGCTGGCTTGCAATACAAAATATCTAGATGGAGTGCTAATAAAAAGTAGTGAATAGTTTCACGACAAGTGAATGTTGCAATTAAACGAAAGAGTGCTCATGAACTTCCATAATAATCTTGGATACAGTGATATACTACTAGTCATTCAAGATTTTGTGAATCAAACTTGGAGTTAAATGCAGAAGCAACTCAATGCATAGTAATGCTAGTGAAGATTTATAGCTATCTCGGAATCATAACTTGAAGCTCTAGCATATGAGTGCCCAATAAATCATGATTTGCACTTGATACAGGTATTAGACAACATTAACATGCACAGGTTATTCAAAAGCTGTACCTCAACATATTAGCAGAGATTAGTAGTTGTTGCTCCTTGTCACCTTCAGAATTAGTTTCTCTTTGTTAAAGTGACATGATTAGATTTCCCATTTAATGGTTGTTTCCGTAATACACATGACATCAAGTAGTAAACATGTAAAGCAGATGTCACCTTCATCTATAAAAATTGGGCTTAAATACAAGAAGATTTTAAGTCAGCATCTCACCTGTCAAGAGGGAATCTTCAAAGATTAAAGATATTATCCTGCGCAAATATAGAGATGGAAGAATGAATGAGGCTACAAGAACAGCAGGGCCAGCGAACCATAAAAGGCTGTTCTGATTCTTTTTCTCTCTAGGTGAAGGAACTACATTCTCTTTCGCACGCTGAAGACTATAAAATGAGACAAATCCAGGTTTACCGCCACTTCCCCCCGAGTGCTCATATGAAACAGTAGGTGAGACGCCTTCGTCACCCACATTACCATCTAAGTCTAAGGGTAACTCTTCTGTCCCCGAACCACTCAACTCGATCACATCTTCTGGAAGGAAATCTTCAGATACAACAGGAAAACAATTTCTCCTCCGAAGCTCTTCTGTGGATTTAAGCTTCCCAAACCTGCACGTCCATAGCTTTGCTGCTAGACAGAACAGAAAGAAAAGATGATAGGAAAGAGTTAGAGTAATGCTTCAAAGAAAAATTCTTATTAATGTTACCATCACATTGGATCAAGGAAGGTCACCTTCAAACAATTACTAAAAAGTCTTATTTAGAGCACAAAACAGATGATGGAACGCTAAACCATGGTTCACTCAAGACAAGCCACTGCTAGAACTTAGAAGTTTTATACGCAAGCTTGGGTATTTCAAAACAACTTGGATGCTCCTAAGATTGAATGATCATTCTATGTTGGCTGAGGTGGTAGAATGTGGTGTATTCTTAAGTGATTGACAGATCATTAATAGTCTCAGGCCTAAAGCTATCATATGTTTCCGGTGAGCCCATTATGAACAATTGTAAGTAAACAGCCCAAGTCAACATTGATTGGTATAGAGTAACAAATACAACACCAATATAGTATAGAATATTTAAACAACCCATGTAATACATGCATGCATCAACAACTAATTGTATGGAAAATAATGAATTTGGGTATAAATTGATAACTCAATGAAGGACTACCAACACCTTAATAGGACCGCAGGATGCCAAGTTGGTATTTGGAACCATCTCTTACAGACTGCCAATGCAACATAATTCCAAAATAGCTACATGATTGAACCAAACTCATTCTTAAGACTTTATAGACCTGTTGGTAACCTTGATATGGTTACAAACCAGCCTATATGACCACAGGGGACACCTCCCACATTCAGTTCAATTTTGGAAAAAAATTCTGAAATAAGTCCGAAAGCGTGGATTATAGCCTTCAATTGTGGAAAATTTTTTACTTTTTCAAGCCCATAAATGAAAGAGGTCGGGGTGTTTTTCATGGACCTATGACAACTCGGGAGACCATTTGGGTGGTGGAAATTTAGCCGTTTACATACATATACACGCCTCCATAAACTCTAGGCCACCATAGGGTTCTATTAAAGCTAGTTTCTGGTGAGCCTCATCACAAAGCCATAATCTTTGCATTAGGTGGAAATGTGGTATGGAAGGAAGGATCCAACTGTGGCATGAAGTTTCTTTGTAGAACTTTTGGCAAAGATAACTATGTACGTGATAAAAGAAAAGGTCAGCATAACTGACAGGTCAAAATTGCAATACTCATAACAACAGAACATAGTTAATCATGGACATAAGTTAATCATGGCAAATCGACAAAAGTTTGAAACCCACCTTTTGTACTTGTTAAGTGCTTCCTGTTCTGCTGAGTTACAAAGGATCGTCGTCTTAAGCTTATCTGAACATCAAAGAAAGTGAAACTGTTTTTATACTTCAATATTGTAAATAACATCTCAAAATTCCAATTAGAAATCTATGAGCACTTCATGAAATAGGGACAAAGGCATGTATTCCCTCTGTCCCTTTCAAAGTGTTGTTTTAAAAGCTTTATTAATTTGAGAGGGTGGTGGTTAAAATTTCTAAGTGTTTTGCACAACTTCAGTGCAAAAATCTTGACAACTATTGTCATGGACCCAGTAAACAGCTCAGCCCAACCCATCAAGGTATACACTAGAAGGCCCAAACACAAACAAGCAACCCATGGTCAACAGGAGAACAACGGTCAGCAAGACAAGGGTCAACCAAAGGGTCCTTGAAAGGGACGGTTAAGGGAAGTCAACACAACAAGAAAGAAGAGACAAATCTAATTAAAGAAGAATTAGGGAAAGCACTCAGCCTAGTTTCAATTATGTCAAGTATGGTTTTGCTATTTTAGTGATTAGTAGTCACATGTAAGTTACATGTGACTACTAATCACTAAAATATTAAGCCTCCTTGTGTCTTATAAACTGATTATAAGTAGAAGAAGATAGTATGTGGAAGGTATCCAGATATTATTTGAGTTAAGCCTAAAGTTACTGCGAGAGTCATAGCCTCAAGCTATTCTTATCCTTGTAATCTTCTTTAAATATTATTAATCAATCAAGCTTTCCCTTAAATTGTCTCTAATTACAGTCTCAATACATTGCTGAATTTCGGTCCTTGACAACTATCCCTATATTACCTATCCTATTGTACAAAAGAGTTAATTTGATTATATTTTTCCCACAATTATTATCATCCCAAATAGGGATGTTTCATTTCATATAATATTTTTACTAAATTCTTGTGCATAAATTATTGATAACTGGTAAAAATACAGAAGACAAGCCAACCTAAAGTTAAAACATACCATGCGGGAATTAGAGCCACAAAATCATTTAAATCGCATGTATATATAGCACGCAGTAACTACCAGAAGCAATGCCAACGGGACAGCTCTACTCCACAACAGTGTAAATCTTGAAACTTCTAGGAATAAGCTTCTAATATACCCCAATTTCTCCTTTCAGAACCCCAAACTTCTGCCTAAGGAGCAAAATAATATAAAGATCTGGAGCAAATATCCTAAGTAAAAGGTAATACAAGCAGAGATGCTTAATGACGTAAGAGACACACCTGGAGAAATAACATTACAAACTTAGGCATCTACAACATATTGTTCAATTCATCCTGTAACTAAGTCAATCAACCCGAGGTAATCATCTTGAACTACATGTAAAATTGTAGAATCTAAAAGCATTTACATACATTCATACTCTCATACCTAGCATGTTGAGTGTATATGTCTACCTAGAAACCATATTTCTTGAACTTCCAACGATTCACCCATAATCCATCTGATCTAAATACCACGACAAACATATCCTTCTGTCTGTTACTCATAGTAACATTGATTTTATAATAAAAACTAACAACGCGACCACTAAATCCGGAATGAAGGAAGTGCAAAATGTCACTATCAATAGTGTGAATTTGGACAAAACCTACACCACAACATGCTCATCAACATATGTAGAAGTGATAGAACCCTACAATTGCAAAGAATGTGCCTTTCCCTCCAAATACCCTCAATTTCACAAGTCAGTTACTCATCCAGCTCAAATTTGTGACATAAACAAGAATAAAATTCAATCAAAACCCATTGTTCAGTAGAAAAAATACAACAAGAAGAAAGACAACAAAAGTACTGAATTAATAAACAGCCAAAAAAAAATCACAAATTCGCACAAAACCCACTTCAACCCAACAAATTATAGCTCAAATTAAACTACCCCAGAAACAAAATCAATATTTTACAATAATCTGATAACAATAATAGATACCCAATAATAAATTAAAGCGTACAAATGCATTAAATTTCAAATTAATCAATGATAAAAACGATGCTAATAATTGGAATTGAGTGTAAGAAATTCACCAGGCAGCTCTGTCTGCATTTAATAGGAGGAGAGAGAAAGGGGGCAAAGCAAGAAAGAGAGCCACTAGCTTCCATTGCCATGCTCACATTAGTTGTTATGGGTGTTGAGAAATCGATAGACCCATTTGACTATAAGAAGAGATTCTAAGAAACATGCATTTGATAAAAAAAATTGGGAATAAAATCTGGGAAAATTTGGGGATGATAAACATGCACTAATGTTTCTGTGAATATGGTGAAGCAAACGACAGGGAATTTAGTTTTTGTTTGGCTAATGCTTTTCTTGTTTGTTTGCGATAATGAAGTAATTGTTTTGGGGCTAATTTCTACCTGTATTAACTATAGATAGCAACTTCGGCAAGTGGCCTTGTATTTTTAGGGTACCGGCCTACGCCCGGTAAATCTGTAGGTAGTGGGGCTCTAAAGTTACAGGGTGAGTTCTACTCCATCGAACTTTGCTGGTATATATAAATGTTATGAGTATTTATGTATTAGCAATAAAGAATTAAAGATAAACAAAGAGTTAGTATTCCTAAATGTTAGTGAAGTGGGAGTAGATTTACTTTTGTATATTGTTTGTCGTCCTATTTCATTGTAGTAATTTAGTACTTGTACTTATAGAATTGTTTATCTGTCGTTTGCAAGATCAAAATGTTACAAGGTTAATGGCCTTTGATTTAAATTCTCAAGTTTATATGTCCAAATTAAAGTTAACGATTGTTCATTTAAACGTTTATACTTTTCTGACTAATTCATTAAAGTACGTGGAGGAAAATTATTTGTGAATAAAGGGAGTAAAATTTGTAAGTTTCCTTAAAATCATTCTTAAAAGTCAAATTATAAAGGGTAGAAAACTCTAAAGTCTTAGTTTTATACAAATTTATGGTCCCATTTGGTTTCATTCCTTGTAAAGTTATATTTTTAGCATTAGTAGTGTAAGTAATGACTTGTATTTGGTGTGTAATGAGAAGGGATCATATCGGAATGTGATAGTATGTATGATTAGTTAAGTACTTAGGGCCTTTTTTGATTGACTGAACTAAATAGAACTAAACTGAACTTATTGGAGCTTAACTGAATATTTTATGAGAGAAGGAAATTAAGAACTAGACTGAACAGAACTGAAATTAGGCTGAAAAGAACAGACCCTTAATTGTGAGAAATTAAATAAAATGCAAGAGATAATTTTCTTCAACCTTGTAACTTGTTCAAGCTTTTTCTCACACCAAAATGGATGATTTCCGGCTATGAGAATACAAGAGATCTCTGAAATCGTTTTGAGACCATATGAATCGACTATAACGTCTTGAAGAAGAGAATTAAGCTACAAATAATGGACTTCATCAAATTTACTTCAAAAAATACATATATAATATGAGAAGAGATTATTTTATACTGTATATAATCTTAGAAGAGTTTATATATAATGCAAGTAATTAAGTACACCACATGTTTTTATGTTATCACAAGTCATAATTAAGTTCAAGTGCTAAACATTGCTGCTAGACTCCTCAATTCCTCATTGATATAACACGTGTGGTTGATAAAAGTTTCCATGTAAACAAAAAAGTCCCACATCGACAAAAAACACAAAAAATATCATCTTTATATACTCAAGAGATCAGTTGATAGAGCACGACCTTACTTGAACAGGATCTGTTCTATAGGATCGTACCTCTGTATCCTTGAGTTCTAAGGAGACAGAAAACCAAGTCTGGTGGATGAATTATGACCGTACGATCAGAGCGTGATAAACGGCCACCGTCGATCTTCGGATCACCGGTACTATAGAGGATCGTTCCTCAGCTCCTCTGTGAGCCGGGGATGGTCGCACGGTTGTCTGACAGACTTAAATCAAAATCTTTTTTAATTTTCATAAGAAAAAAAAATGTGATTAAATTGTTGGTATAATTACTGCAACATTGAACTAAAAACACTTTTATTTGATTACATTTTTTTGGGGTTGATAGAAATGAAGGGGAAATTGGGAGGAAAGAAGGTTCCGACCGGAACGCCGTCGTTGGCGAAGTCGTGTGTGGTGGTTGTTTTGTCTCTACTCGGTGGCGCTTCCATTGTTCACAACATCTACAAACCTGATCTTGTATGGTGTTTTACTTTTACTTGTTTTTGTTTTATAGAGTTTGCACACCATATGTTTGATAAAATGCTCCAGTGAGTAACTGATGTTTTTACTACGCTGTGCTTATGTTGTGCTGCCCAAGTCTTGTTGTAACATCTAATGTTCTTCATCGTTTCAAATCGAGTTTATCGAATTCATTGCCTCCCTTGCTCGATGATCAATTGCTTGTCTATGTTAAGTTTTATTGGAATGCATCGACATTGTAGCGTAAATCTTGTTATTCATATTAAATGAGTTGTATAAGCCAAGATTTTCTTTGTGTGTAGACTTTGCCGCCTTTGGAAGAAGTGAGTGTGGATAAGAAGGAGAAGCAATGATTATTGATTACATCTATCTACTCTTGCTGTAAGTTCAAGTTGAGTGATGAATAATGCCGTCGGAATATTTTGAATTCCAGCTAAATGTACGAAACTAAGTGATGAAACTTGCTGTTAAATGAAGTTTTATGTCATGCTTGTTTTGAATTATGAATGGTATGATATTGTAGCTTTCTCCCTCAGTTATCTTCATAAGATAAATACGAACTTCCGTAATTAATTTCTTTCCATGCTGATTACTGAGTTCATAATAAAATGTAACCCCAGAAACATTTTCTTTCTTTTCATAACTCGATTGCACGTTCTTAGCTGAAGAAAGCCAGAATTTCCACTTATTCCTTACTAAGTAGGCTTTGCCGAAAACTATAGAAAGCTTGGATTTAGGCATGTTGTTACCAATCTAATGTAACGCATTGGATCAAAAACTACTTACCTGCAAAACAGTGCTAGCTTATCTCAAGTCGACTGTTGTAACAAGGATTCCACAGTGGCAAAAGGTAACATCATTGTCGAACAGACAGTAATCTGAGCTTAGTAGCACAACTGCTAATGCAGAGGATCTCCCTGGTAGCACTGGCAATCAGTCATCCTAGCCAAACCCTGCAGGGGCTGCGCTATAACTCAAGACTATAGTGCAACCATAGACAGTTGGACAAAGGTTGGCAATTTGGCATTGTAGAGACGAGGGTGCTCAGAGGCTAGAATCGTCATAGATTGCCAATTGTCACAAATCAACTGATGTTTTGAAGTGTTCAGAAACTTTGCTGAGGATTTTTAGTAATGCTATTGTGTGATGAGAACCATAGAGTATGTGCGGTAACCCTGTGTATCACTGACTGGCTTCTCAAAGGTCCGTAGTTCTACACTCGACTTGAGGTGGCAAATGGCAATGGTCTTCCTGTTCTATCCAGGGAGGGGAGCGCAGAGTACATAGTTGCTCCTTCTCTTCCCTATAATCAGGTGTCATTGGCACGCAAGTGTTTTACAAATGACCATAAAATAGTCTAACTGATAACTTTCTCCAAATATGTGTTTATTCAATACTCTTCAAACTAAGAATGAGACTTGCCGTTGAATGAAGTTTATTGTCATGCTTGTTTTGAATTATGATTATTACTGTAGTAGTGTAGTATTGTCGCTTTCTTTATATTTTACCTTCCTAAAGATAAATTTTAAATACTTTTGTACAAATGAGAATACTGGTCAATTTTTAAAAAGTTTGACCATAAAAAAGTCAAAACAAGAACATCATTTTTTAGTACGGAGTACTATGTATATCTTTGTCTCCTTGAGACTCGAAGGAAAATACCATATTACAGTTGTTAAAACACAGGGTAGAAATCAAATAGATGATCAGTCTGTAACAGAGTAAAAACAAAGTCTTTGTTCCATCTATTCACCTTATTTGTGCTAAACTTAAATAATTCATACTAATTGAAGCTGATTTTTACTTACAGAAACAGATTAAAATTGATTATATCATCGGAGACTCAATCCAAGTATATGGTATGCCTTCTCCTAACAGTGATGGACTTCTGTTGAGTAATAAATAGCAAATCTCTTGTGGTGATCGATCTAGGCGTTTGATAAACTTCCAAGGCTGCCCATCTAATATATTATAAAAGCAAGTGTTTCCGTAACAAACTCCATGCCCATCCCACCTCCATGTCACGCGATCATCCAGGTTAAAGATGGTATTAGCCGTAATGCCAGGGTTAGAATGAGCAGGTACTTGGACACTGAAGGAAGAGTTGGAACCAGTGAATATAGCTCTGTCACCCAGGTTTGTAACTTCCTTGACCTTTCCGTCCTTAACATCTAGCTCGAGTACCTCAAATCTTTTGGTTTCGCAAGAGGTAATATGAATCATATACCAATTTAAATGTATTATCACCTGACGGATAACCAACAATTGACCTGCAGATTCAACCAAATAATAATACCATGCTTCATTATTTTTCCTGGTTTCCAACTCAGTGACCACCTGAAAATGAGGACTACCTTGGGCTGTCTCAAATTTCACAATCATACCATTGCAGTTAACCCCATAAAACTCTCCTTGATAGAATGTTATGTCGCGGCAAAGAGAGCCAAGAAAGCCATCCAAGTTCAACTGGGGATCCACTACCTGAATCCACCCATCATCATAGCCGTTCCTCCAATAAACCAGCATTGAAGGAACAGTAATATCGGTTGTATCTTTGTCCTCCAAAGCAAGGAAGACAATAAAATCCGACGTGATTGATGGGTTGGCGGATAGGATTAGTTTATCAAGGTGGTAGTCAACACCGTAGTGCACAGGCCATAATAACTCAATTTCGGGGAGCTCTATTGTGGCACCGGTATAGGGGTTAAAGAGCAAGAGTTTAAGACTTTCTAAGACCAAAAGCAGCCACCCATATGAAGCTAATATCCTTTCCTCGTCATTGTTGTAGACTCCCTCTTGGACTTTAATGTAGCGAAACGTGTTCTTGTAGAAGCTATGGAGTGTATAATATAACCCCGAGGAGTATCTCTCTGGATATCCTAGCCATGGAATTGTATGCTCGCGGCCTAATGATGATCTTCCATCATTATTGTTGATGAATGCTCGGAATTTAGCTTTCTTAAGGGCTGATCTCCAAGAAGAACAAACACAACTTAGAGTCACAAAGTCCTCAAAGAAATGAAGATGCTCTGCAATCTTAGTGACGAGCTCTTTTGGCATGTCACCCCAACCTGCCATGCTTCAAACTATAAGGGAAAGTGTTAATCAGTATTGAAAATCTTTATTAAACAATTTACAATAATAATTAAGATAACCATAGTTGACATATTCAATGATTGTATACAATATTGATGCATAATGATCGTAAAAAGTTCTATCTTTTGATATCTAATCGAGAGGAAATAATCTCTAAAAAAAAAGTTTAAATTTATTTAAGGTTAATTTAATATGAACCTTTACTTTTGAGATCAAAATTCATACGACACCTTAATATATTCAAACAAACAACAATCAACTTTTTCACCAAAAAAAAAAAAAAAAAAAAAACATCAACAACAACAATCAACTTTATTTAAGCGTAATTGCAAGTTCACTTAAATTTTTACAAAAAAAGAAAGTTACCTCTTAGTGGTGAAATTGCAATAGCTGAAACGAAATTGAGTTTCAAAGTGAAAAAGATACGAGGGTTTAAATAAAGGGAGAGTACCACTTAACAAAGTGAGAATTTTTTGGAGAGAAAGGTGGGATACTAAGAGGTTGTTACCTAACATATATATCTATCTTGGATTTTTAAGTGATAATTTTTTTTATTTTTTTTTTTAACTATATCCTTCTCAAATCTCAATTTTTTGATTTGATTGTTTGATTTATTAGAAAGTTGAGGGGAACTGCTCCGCATTGAGTTTAGTATTATTTACCTGGTTGAGTGGTGGTTGATTGTTAGTGCAAGCTTGCATTGAAGGATGGCTGAAATGTGAAATTAATTTGGGTCTATTGTTTAGAAGTTAAGAGGGGGTTGTGAAAGGAACTAGGAAGCAGTGATTAATTTGGTATTGTGAGGTTAATTATGATAATTTGTGCGTATGGATTGAAGAACTACCCTTTGATAATTTGTGTGTATGGTTTAGACATTTTCCCTCTCTGCTTTATGTCAAATCGTTGCACAAAACCTGTAACGGAAGTAGTAATATTAATGTCTTTCAAGACATGAAGAGTCTGATTTAACTTGTTGATATATGCTACAGGCTGATGTACTGTTGATATGAAGCTACCTATACGTTTATAATGTGATATAGGCTATGTCATATGATTTTTTTAAATTCACAAGATTAATTCCGTGTTATTTTGTAATTTAAAAGCATATCTTTTGCTGTAGAGTTGATTCCAACCAGCAACTAAAAAACCAAAAGAAAACTATAGCATCCGAGGGATCAGAACATAATTAGTAAAAATTGAAAAGGTGAGCATTTTGTTCTTTTACACAAGTGGAATCGGAGAACAATTTCCCATTTCCATATTGGCAATTGCTAGTCATTGAGCACTAGGATCAAGGATTACTACATACAAGGGCTTTCAGCTAAAAATGGTGAAAGGTACCGGAGCCATCGCATTGAAATCCACGGCCTACCTAGTTAAGAGAATACATTTTTAAGCAAAAATCAACGCAAAATAGTAAATAAGAAATACAGGAAGCACCTCCGGCTCCAGCTAGCCCAAATGATTCATATCTGCACCATCACCAGCCCCTTCATCCTGAGGTCGTCGACCAGTCAATTACCAACTTAATATCCAGATTAGGGATTAATAAACTAACTCTAATAAAATTACAAATTACCTGCTGCTGAGGGAGGATGACATTTAGGCTTACATTACTGGATGAAAATGAATCGGATTTAAGACATCACTACTGGAAGCTGGATTCACAATCTCAATCATTCATTACCACTTTGCCTCCCTTGAAAATTCCCCCTGCCGCGCCTTGAATGACCCTGTCCTCCCCTCCCCCGGAATCTCGAAGCTCCAGATTGACTCTCGGTTTGTACCCCAGGGTCATTTGATCTACTGCTGTTATTATATGGTCCCACAGGCTGGTATTCATAGTGTGAGTTCTGCCTCTGCCTCTCACGATTTGCAGATGGAAAATGCTGCTTGTTTTCTTGGACCGTCGAGCTCCAATCCCCACGAGAATCATGTCCTCGATTAGAACGCCCATTCTTGCGGTATCCAGAGGAAGGACGGTGCTCATTGCGACCATCCAATCCTCCAAATGATGCAGGTTCAACCTCCCCTGCGGAAGCTTCTGGTTCCTGAATAGGAGAATGAGGACGCCTTTTAACAGGAGCGACTTTCTTATCCCGCTTAGCATCTTCATTTCCTGTTCTAAGAATTGCTTCGCCTGGACCTTTGCTTTCAAAAGTTGGTGCTGAATCTTTAGCAGCAGATTGTTTCAATTGTGATGAAGAATGTGAGCCGCCATTAGGCCCAGTTTCGAATTTCAAGGCCTCGCCTTCAGGGATTAAATTTTGACTGCCACGAGACCTATTTCCTTGCTGACTATGTGCAACATAGCCTTGAGACTTGGGTTGCCAATGAGGCATACAGCGGTCCTCAGCTGCTCGATTGTCTCTTAAAGACATTGTCTTATCCACTTGATTTGCCTCTACATAAGAATATTGAAGCTCAGTCAAACCAGCATTTGGATCTTTATGATCAAGAATCTGAGGACTCCCACTGCCTTTTTGCCCCTTGTATGGATGCCTTTTCCCCCTTCCTGTTGGAATGAGGCCCTTTACATCGGTGGACTCTGCCAGTGTATTAGAGCTCAAATCAGTTACACTCTCCCAACCATCAGATATACTGGTTTGTGGTCCTTTCACTGAGTATTGATCAGGTCTAGATGGTGGTCCTCTCACAAAGGATTCATCAGACTTAACAGTTGACTGAGACCCATTGGATGCTTGACTATTTTTGCTAGAATTAGCAGCAGAACCGTCTTGGGAAGCTTGAAAGGAAGTTGATTCAGCAGCAACACGCTGACGCCACGATCCCTGAACCCTTTGATTCCTATTCTTACCATCTACATGTTTAGATTCCACATTAGCCCCTGGTTTCATGACATTCTCAGAGCTGTGAGAAGCCTTGTCTCTACCACCACTTCCATCAGTTTCAGATGGATCAACTGAAGTAGATGGGGATTGCTGTATACTTCCTTGCTGTGCCAGCTCTTTGGCTACAGGCTTAGGGACATATCTTTCCATCTCAGCCCTTTTAGTTTTGGAGCTATTGTTCACCAAATTATCACCTGTTGATGTAGAGACCAAAGGTTCAGCAGCTTTCTTGCTGGTTTGGTCAGTAACCTCAAATTTATTATGCGGTCGAACTGGTGCCCAAACAACAGCGTCATTGCTGTGAGATTTTTCAGATGCCCTATTACCTTGTGAATTTCTGGGCTTCCGAGAATGTTGAGCTTTCCAGGCACTATTTACTTTACCATGAGTATCTTCACGAGATAATGAAGAGTGGTTTTCAGAGGACTGAAAGCCATCTTTAGGATCAGATGACAGCTGCATGGAGATGGAATTAACAGGCAAGCTGGAAAAATTATGCTCTGTACTTTCAGAATTAGCTTGAGCAAGATTAGAATCCTTAGACTGAGTTGCAGATGGAGAAACAGCAATTGATGACTCCTCTACCTTGTGCCTGCTCTTTCCACTCTTGTGAATTTTCTTTTTTTGAACAGGCAAATCAGCAATAACAGGTGATTCAGACTGTTCTTTTCCAACCCCTGAAGCAACAAAGCTACCAGTAACTTCTTGAGTTGTACTTGCAACCTTGAGATCTTTCAACACATCTGTTCTAACAGCAGGAATTGCATCTGGTACAGAAATTTTCTCCGATGGAACACTTTGCCTTTGTTTGTGACCTACTCGCTTCGGCTTTGAGACTTCACGAACTTGAGGTGTAGTTCTGTGACTAGCAGCATCATCAACATTAATGCCAGCTGCTGACAATTGATTCTGTGAGGAAAAAGATTCCTCCTGACAAGCACCTCTCTTGGTTTCTGCAGCCAGAGGCCTAGAAGATACAGAAGAATCCACAGTTTTAGTAGCAGTTCTTTCGTTTATCTGGGTGAAATTATTGGCAGAAGCTGAGCTTGACCCAGTGCTGTGATTAACATCCACACTTGATTCAACCTGATTCCTAGAAATATCTTGCTTCTTTGGAGCATCACCAGGTGGTGGGATAAATTCTCTCAAGTTTGGATTTTCCACTCCCTGGTTAGCACTACGCCTATTCAGTTCTTCAAGTTTAGCAAGTGCCTTTGCTTTCTGTTCTCTTACCCGCTCTTCCTCTTCCTTTTGTAACTGTATTGCACGTTGTTTTGCTATCTCTCTCATTTTAGCACGCTGAAAAATATAATTAACGAGCAAATTAAAACTTTACAGTACTTTGAAAGGTGTTTAAAATAAAAAAGTGAATTCAAACACACCTGCATATCACTGGGATCAATATTTGACACAAACGATCCCCCATCATCTATTCCCGGAACATTTGCCCTCGACAACTCAACAGTCTGTACAGTTGCAATGTGTTCTACTTGATCGTTAGTAACTGATCTGGAACCAGCTTCAACCACAGATTGCGTATTGGATTTCCTTCCCCATCCATCAGAATCCTGTCCATGAAACCCTCCTTTTCCATGAGGATCTCCTCGACTTTGTGCTCCACGAACAGATCTCCTGTGAATCTGAAAATCAGAACAGCAAAAACAAGACTACAACAGAATAACGCAGGTAAAGTGCAACAAAACCTGGGGGCGCTGGCAACTGCTGATTCTTGATTTTTATCAACCGCAGAAACATCATTACAACGGGAAACAGGGACAAGCACTCCTGTGGGATGATGGCGCTCCAAAACAACATCAGAATTAGCTTCATTTGCAGATCGATGATCCTTGGAATTGCTCACTTGCACCCTATCATTAGGCCCCTCCTCCCTATGGAAACCCTCTTGTTTTCGGCCAGTGGCACGTGCCTTAGCATTCAAACCCTCTAACTTTTGTATCAAAGAATGATCTCGAGGAGAAACTACATTCTCCATGGAAGGACTTATCTGAGTTTCATCTATATCACTCAAGCGGTCAGGGAAATTCCCACAAGAAAGGTTATTAGAAGTAAATTTATCATCAAAACGAGAACCAACTTCTTTGGTTGCACGTTTGCCATGATAAATATCCTCATCTTTCCTGTAATTATCTTCCCAGGCATTCTCCTGCAGTGGTGCCTTTGATAAGATCCCTTTTTCATGAATGCCAGTAGTACCTCTATGTCCCCACCTCTCTTCCTCATTCTTATTCCAACTACCGTTTGGATGCCCCAAGACTTGGTAGTGTCCTCGGGGATCATGTTGATGACCAGGCTCTACTTGTTCAGGACCCCTACCTTCCCGTGACCGAGGACGAACATTGTTTTGATCAGGAACATTTTGGTTTGCATGTCTAGTATAGACAGGCGGTCCAGGTGGCATTCCCATAAATGGTAAATCTCGTTCATTGGGATTACAAAATCCCAGCGGAGGTCTGTAATAGCCATCATATGGAACAGGGCCAGGATAAAATCCAGGCCTCATAGGCATACCTGGATGCATGTGTGGGACATGTGTCATGTGTGGCATATCTCCATTTTTGGGGCGATGTCCATGATGGCCAGCACCGGGGGGCATTGGCTGAGAGCTGGCTATACCAGCAGGAGGAACCTGTGGGTGATAATAAGGAAATGGCTCCATAGGAAAGCCACCAGGAGGTACAGGACCACCATAAGGAGGACCAGGAGGCCCTCTATACCAGCCTCCTCCAGGAGGGTTAACTGGTGGGGCACCACGCCAAGATTCATAATGAGGAGCCATGTTAGGGTTTGGGTACATGTGAGGCTCTCCATGCCATCTTTCCATGTTAGGTCGAGGCCCATCTTCAACAAATGAGGGCCCATCTTTCCTCCAAGAATTACCTTTGACATCTGAGTTTCTGGAGACATCATCTATGAAGAGAAAAGTATGAACAGAACATTACTACTTTAAAAAAGTGCAAATAGTTGAAAATAATAAAATAAAAAAGGGCACAAATAGCAATATAACATCTGTCAGCAATACAAGCAGACTGACTAACCACCATGTGGAATTCCTCTACCATCTTCTGTGGTTCTCACTCCACCCGAAGAACCAGGACGTCCATGAGGAGCATGATCTGTCACATGATATAAATCACAATATGAGTAAGCACAGACCAACAATGAGAAAGCAGCCACCAAAATTGCAAGTACCCTTGAAGCAGACTGTCTATAGATTTATCATATCCTCAAAAAGGTCAAAGATCCTAGAACACCAACCATTAGGTTTAGTTTGGTTAAAAAAACAACAGAAGAAATATTCTTGCTCCTACCAGAGGGTCAATTAGGGATGTGCAGAAAAGGAAACTATGGTAATAGTTAGTGATCACCTTCTCCCATCCCAACCTAAATGGTTTAGGATTGATAAAAATTGCAAATTGATTCAATTATTCTAAAATCGTGTGCAAGCAAATGACTTAATATCAGGAAACACCCACCACCCAGTTCGGAATCACCTCCTCATTCCCAAATCCTAACAGCCCAACCTCAATGGTTTAGAAATTGTAACCAAAAAAAAAAACCACCACCCAATTCAGAAATTGCTTTACTTTCTGAAAAGAAAAAAACAAAGAAGAATCAAACAAAACAAAAGGCCAAACATAAAAGCCCTTCCTAGAAGCAATAGAGGTAAGAGTAAGGTTGTTGTATTCGAAGAGAATGAACGCAAAGTTTGTAAAAGCAAGCATGAGCACCTAGGGTCTCCATGTTCATGTTAGATTTGTCTTTCTCTGAACCAAGTGTTGGAAAATCTCCTGAAGTCAAAGAGAACCCTTCTTTTGCAGAGGATGCAACCCCCTGCATACATATCAGCGAATTGATAAAAAGTCAGATACTGCAAGAAAAATACTAATTTTAAGGCTGTATACAGGGCCCATAATAATGCTGCAAATTCCTACTATGAGCTAGCTATAAAAAAAAAAAAAAAAAAAAAGGTGCACGTTAAACTATTTGTTTGATCAACATACCGTCCGTTCTGAAGATGTGTTTGCACCCCAAACCCCAGAACCTTCAGGTGCAGATTCAGCAAACCTAGATAAGTGTGAGCTACCAGGTCTAGTTTCAGCACTACGAGGGCGTAAAGATGTCGATGAAGCATTGTTGGATGCCAAAATCCCTGAGGCTGATGATGGCCTCGAATTTGAACCCCATGCACTGCCATTAGAATCATGAACTCTCTCACTGCCAGCAGTTGATGGGCGAGTTCCGCCACTGGATGAAGGTCGACCTACCAGCTGACGGGGCGAGGAGCTACTACCATCAGTAGTTGGTGACAGCGCTGAGGTACCCCATGCATTAGACCCAGCAGAAGATGGTCGGCTCCCCCAACTAAGTGTGCCCCTTAATTTGTCACCAAAAGAAAAAAAGAAAAAAAAAGCTCCTTTAAACTCATTACTTACACTTGCAATGACAAATTAGAAAGAAAGGGCAACGAGGCAATTCTAAATGAAAATTGAGAAGATACATCTAAAACTACTTACTTGGGAACAATTTCAACATTAGGGTCCAAACCATGATTCTCCAACCTTGACCAACCAAAGTAAAAACATAAGAAAACTTCAAAAAGCAGAAGCCAAGTACATGCTTCAAAGAGGAGATCAGGAGGACAAGAACCTTTGACTGGGCAAATTAATGGGCTTTGGAACAGCAACTTTGCCCAAGACAGTCATGCCCCCTCTTCTTGCAGAAGCCCATCTGCGTAACCAACCATAAAGCTGAGGAGTGCTATTTATAGTCCCATATTTTGCTTAAATATTAATGAAAATGTAAAGATGTACAGAAAATGCATATACAGAAGATATAATCAAGTAATAAATGCTAGAGGTTACTAGAAAATAAATCAAAAGATGATTTCATTTCACCCCCACAACCCTTAGTTTCACAATTTAGTCATCTTATAGGGACAGGAAATTATATTGATACATGTAATTATATCAAAGAACATTATGATTCTTTCAACGGAGCCATCCTTGGCCTTGAACAGTATTGGTAAAATACAATCCTACTACAGATCCATTAACCACAAACAGTTCATAATAAAGCTATTCATTCATAGACAGGTCAAACAAAAAACATGTTAAATTGTTAAACCCAATACACTAATAACTTAAAAGTATTTTTTGATAGGATGTAATCATAATCTCATTATATTATTTTTAATGCGATTGGATTTCAGATCAGTCACAGAACAGGTTGATTAAAACGTGACCAAAATTTTTTAGGTTGTACAGACACATCAAAAGGCAGGTTCAAGTGCAAAAATTTGGTAAAAATTCACAAACCCACTAATTCTTACTTATAATAAAACAAATAACACACATTAAATAATAAGGGCATTAATTCAAAAAGTGGATTCTCTAACAACAAATATTATTATGAAAAATAATGACAAGTTAAAGAAGGTAGGTCAAACAAATCATTTATAAATATACACAGAACAATTGTGTCGATTATTTCCATTCTCACCACCCTTTCCTAATATTACTCCCAAATTATTTATTTACCTTACTTCATCAATCAACAAACTAATATGCCAAAGTGATTGTTAATGATTTTTAAAGCTATTACACAAACAAACAACAAACTAATAAAAAAGGTGAATTTGTGTGTGTGTGTACACATGAAAAATCCTAATTTCTGGCTTACTTCTAAAAGAAAAGAGATAAAGAAAATAATTTCAATTTTCTAAAATACCTTCGATCTCCAGTTATCGTACTTGATGTCATAGCTTGATCGAAGTTGCAAGATCATCCAATCTGTCACATAATGTAAATGCAAAATCAACAAAATACATAAATAAATATTTTGGAACAAAAGCAAAAGATTCAAATACAGCTTTTCAGACATAATTGAACTAGGGGGCACACTAAAGTGACTACAACATACCTAAGAGAACCTCATTCAAAGACAGTAAACAGTAAATAATATGTTTGAAAAACTAGAATGTAATTCCACGTAGTGAATAAGAGTATTAACATGTAATTTAATCATTTGCATGTAATTACATACATCTGATACTCACTCCATCACCAAATGAAAGCCCCATTAGCCTTTTGCACAAGATTTTAGAAAATTGATTATAAAATTAGATAGTGGGGTTTGGTTGATTAAATATGTATATAAATTCAAAAAAAAAAATGGGGCATGGTAGATTAAACATGTGAAATTAGTAGGGTTTGGTTGATTCAAAGTGAATAGATAAAAATAAAAAGGCAAAATAAAACAATTATTTGGGGAAAATAATATATGTGAAATGGGACTTTTACTAGGAGACAAAGGGTGTACATATTTTTAGATTTCCAAGAGTAGAACATTATGCACCAATAATAGGTTTCTTTTCAAAGGGAAGTATAAGCAGACTTTATCAGACTGCAGAGATGACATAATTAGCATGCACTCCAAAATTGTAAGTATAAAATTGAAATTAAAAGAGGGAGTGGGGAGGGGGGGGGGGGGCTGCCTAAAAGAAAGGATAGTACAAGTACTAATTTTTTGGAAAGTCTCATCCATGTAAGACATAAACAGAATTTGGAGACAGAAACGCAAAAATGAATTATATAAAAAAAAACAAGGAAACTTAATTATTAAGCATTAACAATAATGCTAATAATAACAATAAAATGCAATAATAATTAAAATAACATCAATAACAATCACAAGATCATTACTCCAAAAGTAAAATAAAATTAATAATCAAGTCCATCATCACCATCAAAACATTGTAACATATATAATTAATAGTGTAGACAAGCCATATATGGGGTCCAACAAAGCCATCCATTATAACTTTTAACTTGTATGCACACAAGACCAAACTGATCAAAAGAATGGGAAGTGAAGCTTGGGGCTAGAGATGAAAAGCAGTCAAGCATTCAGAAGCAACTATAATCGATGATTACAGAATAAAAGCTATTTCAACAGCTCAGGTTGTTGTTAATAAATTCCTAAAGTCTATATATCAGATAAACAACTCAACTCAATACAGATTTCACCCAATTAACCATAGAAATTTCAAGCCACACTCATGACCACGATCAGTGTTGAGGAAATTAGAACATGTACATGGAAGCAAAGTTAAACAAAAATGACACATCAATTTGCAAAACTCGGAAAAGTTGAACACGAGAAAAATCCCAAATTTATTCCACTCTTGCTTATACAATAGCCACAGAAGAAGTCCCAATAACTATTCAAATAAGCATATGTATTACATCTGATGAGCAACCTGCAACCCCTAGGCAACACATTCGGATGGACCACCATTCAGTTCCTGTCCCTCCCCTTTGCCAACATATGCTACAACTTCCGATCACTCGTGAACAATTCCAAGTTTCCAACAAGCTTAACTTCTGAAATTCCTTCCCAAACTGTGAAAACCCTATATCCTTACACCCTAAACATCAGCAATGCCGCAAATACAGCACTTATCCACCATAAAACTTCCCAAAGCTATTCTATTACACTTGAATTTACCTGAAAGCATCATCAAAGTTTCTTACTCGCCACAACCTATTTAGTACAGCTAAAATAGGACATATATGGCCTAGTTTGTCCAAATTCTAAAACATTGATGTGACCGAGCAACAAACAATTAGCTCAAAGTGTTGAAAACTAATAACTTTTGCTGCCCAAAAAATTGAAACACACAAAAGAGGGCAGTTTTTTTGTAAATTCAACACAAACCTATGTGGAATTTTATCAGAAATGATCCCAGAAATTTACACAAACATCTAATAATTAACACTATATTACAAACATAGAAACTTTATCCATCGTTTAATCATATTAACAATTCTACGGCATTTCAATAAATTATAACAAAATCCAACGCATTTTCGCAGAAAATAACTGAGAAAAAAATCACCTCAATTGTCGCAATTTCGCTGGTAACCTCTGCAACTTCTTGAAATCAAAAAATAGAAACCTTGTTTAATTTTTGATCTTCAAAACTAACCAAAACCCTAAATCGAAGGATCGAAATTTGTAATACAAATGAATTGAAAAAATTGATCGACGTAAAATTCGTAGAAAGTTCTAGAATCAGCGAAAATCGGACGGACGGAAGCTGCCGGCCGGAGAAATTCCGGTGGCCGGATTACTGAACACCGTATGATAATCCGATTGATCGAACTCTGAAAATGGTTGAATTAGGAATGAAATTAGGGTTGAAAAAAGAGGGAGAGAGAAAACAGGGGAAGAGAGAGAAAAAAATTGCAGGCGGAAGCCCTAGAATGAAAGAGAAAGAAGAAAGATGAAGCAAAACTTCTTCTTCACCCCTTTGATATGTTTTTTTTTTTTTTTTTTTTTTTTTTTTATTGTCTTTTGATGATTTAAATTTTTTTTTTAGTTTGAATTGGCTTGATGGGTCATGGGTTCAACTCCTAATCCATTAACGGATTAACCCGGTTCAAATCCACTCGTTATCACTTAATTCAATCTAGTTGATTTAAAATTACTGGTAATCCATTACATATTAAATTGTAATTAGATAAGGTCAGTTTTAATTTGACTCTATCCATAAAAATGGTAAGAAAAAAATAATTGTCCTTTTAAGACTATTTTGCTCATAATAGTGTCTAAATTTCCCATTTTAGAGTAAAAACAAGAAGGTTTTAAATCGATTGGCGCATTAAACAAAAGCATTACACATAGTCTTTTAATGTCACAGACCTAATTGGTAAAGCTCTGTATAAAAAAAATATAAAAAAAAAGATTAAATTAGAAGAAGTTGTGAATATGGTGTAATTAAATTTAACAAATAAAATTGGGACAAATTCATGTAAAAATTAGTATAAACGCCACTATATATACTTGTAACAAATAGTGTACATCAGGTGCATATAAGTTTTTTTTTTCCTGTGATAAGACTGACAACGGTGTTAGTTACTCAATGAACATAAGGTGTTACCCACCCCACCCATCATGAAATTAGGGTTATATGGAAGATTTTAACCCCATTTTCGAGATAAATCAATGTAATTAGAAATATTAATACAAAAACTATCTCGCTTTGAATGCATTTGCGGGTTGAGGGTGAAAAGAGAACTTTTAAGATATGATTGTGTAGTATAAGTATGTTTTGTAAATTTTATCGTCTATGATTAGTCTTTTTATAAGATTGTGTCTCAATGGTGCACTAAAATTGTTATAATTCGTAAGAAGAATGAGATTGAATTTTTATTTATTTATTTATTTATTTATTTTTGTAATGACCAGACTTGTTATTAACAATCATAGCACATTCCCGGTAGAACTACTCATATGATCTTATGGCCTGTTCTCATAAACTGAACTCAGTTGAACTGAACTGAAATGAGCTGAACTGAACTGAATTGAACTGGAATGAATATTTTATAAGAGAAGGAAATTAGGAGCTGAACTGAACCGAACTGAATTGAGTTGAATTGAACCGAAAATAAACGTATAAGAACAGACCCTTAATCTTATTCTCAACTTTCAAATAATCAAAGGGGAATGGGTGACACTAATTGTTTCCCTTGGAGCATGGTTGAATTATCTTCTAAATATCAATGATTCAATGTCAACAAGAATAGTGTGTAGCTGTGTACTCAACCAAGTATTAACTACTATGTAATAAGTCATCAATTTTGGCACCATATCACGATCATACTAGATTAAGTTTTAAGACATATAATTTCGATCCTTTTAGATTCACGAAAACACTTAATTATGAACAAAATTTGGTTTTTGCTTCTTGGAATTAGGAAGACCAATTCTCAAGGTTTCCTACAAAATTAGCGAGCTTATGTCTTGAAAAAACAACTTTAAACATTACTTCGTAACTCAGTTAAGAACCACACTATAGCAAATCTTTCATTTTTATTTTGAAAATTAAATTATTACTTTATAAAATAGATATAAAACGGCAAAGAGTAGCTATTTAAGTATTTAGACATAAACCACAAAATTCGATCCCAATTTTTAATTACAATGTTAAGGCATTACCAAACCAAACTACTTGAATTCGTTAGTAGTCAATTCGGACCAAATCTAAATTAAGCTCAAAAGAACAATTATTCTTAATCAAATTCCTTAATTGAACATGATCTAGAATTAACCAATTTCCATGACCATACTATAACAAGGGGCCCAATCAACCATCATCGATTTCTTCCACTTCACCAACCTATCTGTCAATCGTCAAGTGCAAAACAAGGCTGTTGGCTTGTCACTTCCACTTCAGAGATCTGCTTCGATCTTTCATTGTTATTTGAAAGCGAAAGACAGGGAGATCTCTGAGCTACTTCCAGGTTCGTGGATCATACAATTTACTTTGAATTTTACTATATTATATACTGTACTTAATTTAAGTTAATTTAAGGATTGTGTTTCAAAGTTAGCGTTTTGAGCTTAATCGATGAAATTAAGGATTACCCTTTGTTTGATTGATTAAATAAACTCATGGGTTATGGTTTAATTATTGAATTGTTTTATGGGTTGTGTTTAATTTTTAATGATTTGGTGGGGTTTTTGTGAAAATTAAATGACAAATTGGGGAATTAAGATTATGGTATTGTGTTTAATTTGGAAATGGAACCTCAAACCCCATCAAAAAGCAAAAATTTGATATTGGGGTCTTTTGACTCTTTTCAATCTCATAGAAAATTGAAATTTTGCTTGATTTTTCTAGCAATTGTGTTAGTTTCAGTTGGTGTAATTTATGGGTATGGATTGTTTGGGGAGATTAAGCCATTTTTTACTGTGGTTGTGGATTGTGGGAGTACTGGAACTAGAGTGAATATTTATGAGTGGAGAATTGATGATGGAAGAAAAGGGGGTTTGCCAATTTTATTGCACTCTTATCCCCATGATTCAGCAAAGAATCATCTGTGGAGAAATGGTTGTGAGTACCATTGTATGCAAACTGAGCCCGGGTTGGATAAATTTGTGGGTAATTATTCGGGGGTGAGGACTTCCTTGGTGCCGTTGCTGCGTTGGGCGGAGGGATTGATACCGTATGATAGACATGGGGATACACCGATTTTTGTTTTAGCTACTGCTGGATTGAGGAGGCTTGCGGTGGAAGATGGCAAGAGGGTTTTGGAAGATGTAGAGCGCGTTGTTAAGGAGCACACGTTTAAGTGGAGAAGAGATTGGGTTAGGGTTTTAAGCGGAAGAGAGGAGGCGTATTATGGTTGGGTTGCTTTGAATTACAAATTGGGGTATTTGAATAGATCATTGAGTGAGTTGCCAACGTTAGGGCTTCTTGATCTGGGAGGTTCTTCGTTGCAAGTAGTGTTGGAAGCAGATGAGAGGAGAGATGATAGCCACCTCTTGGTATCAAAGATCGGTCGTGTTAAACATCAGCTTATGGCTTATTCCTTGCCTGCTTTTGGTTTGAACAAAGCTTTTGACAGAACAGTTGCAATGCTTGTTCAAGTTAAGTCAAAGGGAAATGATAATGAATCTGATGTTAGACATCCATGTCTCAGCTCTAAATTCTTAGGAAATTATACTTGCAGCAGTTGTTCTAAATCAGAGTCATTGCTACATTTGGTCGGAGATCCCAATTGGGAGAAATGCAAAATGCTTGCTCAAGCTGCAGCAATGAATTCAAGTATTTCAGATTGGTCAGAGCCTAGATTAAATTCAAGCTGCCGGAGAAGGTCTCCACACGAGGGTAAGTATCAGATTAAGTGCTGTGCTGCCATCCTCTTCTTAGTTGTTCAGTTTGCAAAATCTAAGGCTTGCTAGTACATAGTATATTACTATCCTGTTTTCGTAATTGACCTCACAGTTGCAATTTTGTCTCGCCAAAGCAACCTTAAATTTAGACAAAAGTCAAGGATTTTGTCCAGCAAAAGGATGTAGATTTTTTCTTCGATGTTTTGTAGGAATTCTTAAGATGTATTCTCTAATTATCTTTTGTGTGGTGTTATACCATCTTTTCATTTACACTTAGCCTATACTATATAGTAATTAGGGATCTGAACTTCAGATAGGATATAATTCTGATACTAAGGTTATGAATTATACCTCGTGTTAATTTCAATTTAAATCCTACTGGGCGGTGGTATCCCTTGTTTTTTTTTTCAACCTTTAGTCATTTTCACGGTTAGGACATAGGATTGATTTGAAAATTGAAATATCATGGATTGTCTCCTGCAAAAAAGATGTGGACCTTTTTTTTGGATGTTTTGCTGGAATCAGAAAAGGTTCACATTTACCTAATTTTTTTTGTATCAAACGTCTGGTTATCTTTTGTAAGATGTTAGATGTTGTATCACTTGTTATTATTATTTATTTTACTTTACAATTTGTCTTTAGGAACTAGTGGTCTGAAATTCCGAAGAGTACATTTCTGATTATCAAAGCTTCTTTTGCAGGCAAGAATATCCTTAATGTCGCCATTAACACCAAAGCAGGTGTTCGGTACCATGCTTTATCTGGATTCTTCGCTGTTTACAACATGCTAAATTTGACCGCAAAAGCCAATTTGTCAAAAATCTGGGAGACAGCGCACCATCTATGCTCAAGTACATGGGATGATGATAACAAAGTCTCAATCAGTCGATATTGTTTTAAGGTGTTGTATTTGGCATCCCTGATTGAGGATGGTTTATGTCTAGGAAATGCAGATGTAATATTTGGTCCTGGAGATATTTCTTGGACATTAGGAGCTTCTTTAGTAGAAGGAGAACATATGTGGAGGACAACAGGTGGTTCAAGAACTCTGATAACAACTCCGCAATATATGGATGTCATATCATCGCCCATCTTTCTCTTCGTTATATTGGTAGTCCTGGTATTTATTGTTTACCACAGTCAGATTAAGCTGCCTATGCCGTGAAAGAGAAGTGCTGTTGTTGGAGCAGCTTTGCCATCTTACCCACACTCTAAGCATCGGCCATGACAGTTATAGTGGTAGACTCATGTTATCATACATTGATTTGTTTCATTCTTTGTTGTAATATAGTAGTATTTAGAGAATTAGTACCAAGTACCAACTATGCGAAGCTATATAACATCATTTTCTTTCACTCCACTGAAAACCATCATTTTCTAACATTAACTAATGTTGCGATCAACCAGGGTTTGTCATGATAAGAACTATGGAGTATATCACAGATTCAAGGGCATGAAAACATGAAAACATACAGGAAGACTGTAATACAAAGTATGAAGTATAACGCACGAATTTGATAAAAATGTACAACATGGCTTCAGCCTTCATTTTTACAATACTCATTTGTTTATTATATACTTTCCTCCGTTCTATTAATATTGCAACAATGGACTTTTTGCACTATTCATCACTCTTGTTTGACCATATAATATGAGTTATACGTTAAGCAAAATATAATCAAGTGGGATCTTGTTGGATTTGTCTCATAAAATACTTTCACAATATCAACTTTTTATAATTTTTACTCTTACACAATTATAGATATTTAGCATATAAAAGGTGTTTCGGGATGCGTAATTTTCTCCTTGTTGCAATATTAACAGAACGGAGGAAGTACATGGATAATACAGACAACATTAAATATTTGCAGAGCTAAACTTGAGGTAGGTTATTCAGTATGTAGCCATTCCACTTGACATGCAGTTATCCGATTCAGATCCTTTAACATTGACCCATACTTCATTAACACGATTGAATATTCGGAACGGAGAATTACACTGAGCAATTGAGTAAGCATTTTTATTGTCTGATGAGGTTAAGTTGGCCCATTGTGATCTTCCCAAAATGGTAGCCAGTTTCTCAGCTTCAGTTACGACATTACTGTCACCTGCAAACCCTGAAAACTTCCTCACTGCAACACAGTGACTTGGCCATGAGACTGGCTTCAGGTTGAGCTCAGGAAGTGGAAGTGGTGGGGTGGCTTGAAACTTAATAGGTAAGTAGAAGCGAACAACATATGATGATGAATGAAGTGGTCCTGCTCCAGGGACAATGCTAGTCAACACAGGTTTTGTCATGGGGATTCTAGAGAAGTTCAAATTGGCGCCTTGGATGTATTGAAACAACCTGAAAATTTACGAAAAATACAACCATTAGAACTTAGAAGCCTTCAAAATCCTCAAAAGTTAGCAGAGCACATCTATTGTTAGCCAGAGATTAGGCAACCTCATAAATTGCAGAAAATGATTATCTCAATATACTTAACAATTCCAGTTGATGAAGCACAACGTAAAAATAAGACTCGAGTGCGATTTTTTTTATAATTAATTTACCTGTATAACCTTATTAACAAACAGGGTTGGAGCTTGAACCGACCAGCTTGGATTCTTTACATTAATTATCTATCACTCTCAGAATAGTAGAATCTAAGATCCTTGTGAAGTTGTGAGAACACCATATGAGTATGAGACTAAGGTTTTTGCTGGGTGTTGGCTAATGACTGTAAATCTGTAATACTTCCTTAACGGTTTGTTTGGATAGCAAAGAAGGGGAAGGAGAATGGAGGAAGGGAAGGGAAAAGAAAGGGAGGGGGAGGTGAGCTCCATTTTCCCTTCAAATCTCTCCAATTTTGGAGAGATTATGGTTATTATAGAGAGAGGGAAAATAGATCCCTCCCTCTCCTTCCCCTTCCTTCCCCCAATCTTTTACCCAAACAAGAGATTTTGTCCCCCTCTATTTCTCTTCTCTTCTTTTCCTTTCATTTCTTCCTATCCAAACAAAGTGTAAATGTTTAAGGAAGACCAACTACTATGGTTTTGCTTTTTCTGAAGTATCTGTCTAAGGCATAACTATAATCTGAATTGAACTTTCATTCCTTATCTAGTAGTTCAAAAGCTTTTGGCAATTCTAGAATAGTTCTAATTGCAACAGATCCAGCAATTACAGTTACAGATCTACAGATAGGTATGCACTCAAAAGTCAAAAAACCCTTTTTTTTTTCCCTTTCTACTGGTTTTTTTCTCAATGATAATCTTGCAATACAAAGATGGATTTCCACTTATCAAAGGTAGGTACTGTCAAACTTCTTTCCAGAAGCAACAAATTAACAATTTAATATGCAATTTTTTTCTTGGGAATAAACTAGCTTACCCTTTTTTTAACACTAGATCTGCCCCTGCTTCAACAGCATTTGCGTTCTATTTTAGTAATAAAAGAAATAGAACTATAAGGTCTCTAATCTTTTCCTTCCCTTTTCTTTATCCAAAAATACTCTAAGTCTAATCTATGACCTTTAAAACAATGTCCAAGTGGGTAATTAACGAAGATGAGAGCAGAAGGATAGGTGAGTTAGTGCAAAATACCAACTGGTGGAATACAGACTAGTTTCGCCTAAACAACGATCTTTGGTGTACCATAAAAAGTATAAACCAAAACAAATACACTGAGCACAAAACCACAAAGTAGCATTTGAATCATCTACGAAGTTTCAGGTTTCCTGCAGGAGATGAACAAGGCCCTTCAGTTTCCTGCAGGCTGCACCTCTAATCAACAAATACATTTCCGCAGTAACAATTTATAAACCTTGGAATTTTCAAGGTCATTTGCCTATAGTTAAGCCCTACACTAATTAATTATCTCTATATCCATATGGAGCAAGTTTCCAATACCAACTGCAGCTCACAAAATTAGCAACACAGTGATGCTCAAGCATTCACAATGACTATTATCTTATCGTAAACGCGACAACACTATCAGGATCAAGGCTGTAAACCACTTCATTCAACAATACCGATAAGACACAGCCGGTTAAGTGTAGTTTAAAATGATCATTACATAATTCTACTCTACCATATCAAAGGTACTACTACCTCCATCAATACTTTTAATTACAAAGTCATATATATAATCACTTAATCAGAGCATATTATATAAAAGAATTTCTTATACTTTCATTGTATTAATAATATAGCATATACTATATAAAAAAAAAAAAAGTATAATCATAACACCAGAAACACAATTAATTACATTTTGCAAATCATTATCACACTAATCCAATTTCAAAAGCTAAAAACATTAAAAAGTCAACAAATTAAGATAAGAGCAAGTCAAAGGAGAGAGAATTACCGGTGAAAACCTAATTTGGTAGCTTGATGAAAGGAGAGGTGATTGACGGGAGCAGACATCCAAGTAGATTTCTTATAAACCCTAATTTCAAAATCTGATTCAGAGTGGATTACAGAATATTGCGGCGATTCGATTGCGTTGATCGAAGGTACCAGGTACACTGCCACACAGATTGCCACCATTAATTTCCACGTCTTCCTCTCCATTCTTCTCGATTTTTCTCTCTGTAAGAGAAAGGGGCCTCAGACTATAAATACAGCTACGTAAATGAAGTACTTCGTATATTCCGTTAAAAAAAAAATAAAAAAATTACTTTGTATATCTCAATACCCTTTTTTTTTTTTTTTTTTTTTTTTTTTTTTTTTTTTAAGGATGACACCCGGTTCACCGGAGCTAAATCCGACTCGGATAGCACACCTGGCTTATGGTGGGTGAGTCTCCCAACAAGAGTTTCTGCATACGGCGAGACTCGAACCCGAGACCTCCCTTAAGCGAATCAAATTATTTAAAGCAACAAAGTGGATCGCGAATGTAGTCATCTCATTAGTAACATGGATATTATTTGTGTACTTTCTCGTCTTTGTACCTGTGTCACACATCTACGACTGCAATAGAACCCATGATCTTAGGGTAGATAAGGTACTGTTCTAGCCACTAGGCTAGCATTAAGTTTAAACACTATGGTACACTTTGTATTCCATTTAAACAAATTTATACGAGTACTACTTTTTTTCTTTTTTCTTTTTTAAAAAATATGATAAGGCACGTGCCCTGCTAGGACCTATAATGGCTCCGCCACTGATTGTGTCGGCTATGTACTATGTCCCTATTTGCTCATTTAATGCGTTAGAAATTCCTCTAGTAAAGATAGTTACTGACGTTTGAAGTTTAAATACTTATGTAAAACTATCGAAAACACACAATATTGTCATACTATCCATGTAAATACTAGTATGACGTGATTCTCATAATTATGTTTTTCTAATACTATGTATATTGTATTATTGTTTGTTTTCATGTTTATATGAATTCTATCGAATTTGTATATGCGTCCGTATCCATTTTCATGCAACCTAAGTTAGAAGGTATTTGAGTAGAAATCAAATAATACCTTGTTGTTTTATAAAAAATTAAAAACAAATTATTGGAAGGGGACTATCTTTATGTGGATTAATGTAATGGTCATGTACTCTTTTATTCTTAAGTCTCGTGTTATTTTTATGTATAACAAGTATAATAAAACAGATGAAGCATTATTCGAATTTGTATTGACACCCACACTATTGGTCAATAAAGTGCATATAAAATATAATCGAGAGAAAGGGTAAAAAATAACCATGTTTAGAGTAAAAGATAGAGTGAAGAGCCCTTTGGAAGAATTGTTCCAAACTTCCACGAGGACCAAGAGTGTAGTTATTTGGGTAACTAAACACATGAAATCACTTATTGTATTTTCAACCAATTTGATTTTAATTTTGGGTCTTTATACTCATTATTGGGGCATTTTATCTTAAAATTCATAGTTTTCACCTTTTTAGTGTTTATTAGGTTTTGACAATAAAATTCAAAAAGAGCATTTCAAAGAAAAATGCCTCATTGGTAGGATCAATTTTGACCCACAATAAACACTTTAACCAGGGAACTAATAGTGTAAAAGGTTAGGCTTCTGAACTTATCCCACATGGAGCAAATAACAATCAAGGACATCCTTTATAACTAATCTGAAAGCTTAAATACCCAACTTTAAGGAGGTGGAGGGGTTGGGGTTAGCATGATTCCATTGAACCCAGGTAACCCTGAACCCTAAACATTCCAGGTTGGAACCCCGGATCAAATTCAACAAAGGGGTTGTTTCCGTGTTCCTCCCCTTGAAGGGCAATTATTACTGAGACCCCAAAACAAATACGCAAACACTGCCCCTAATCATGTAAAACCCCAACATTGTGGCCCTTAGGTTGTGAGAGGTTTGTAGGGCAGTGTGTTGCTGGTAGCCACGCCACTGGTGCCTCGTCTCTCCCCCCATCTCCATTTTTTCAGAGCTTTGGATGTTCCGATCAGAGGTACTGACCATCTAACTTTGTTAAAAAAGTATTCAAATGTAATCACATATCTTGGTTTACAATTAAAAGTTAACATTTTCTAGCAAACTGATGGGTATGCATATACATGGAAAGAATCCTACTGTAAAACACTGAATTCACCTTATTTATTATGATAAATTAATGTTGCTCCAAAACCTGTTCTGGCCAGACGCCGTTGAAAAGCTGTGAAACCACCCATATTGTCCGCAAAGGCCTACAGCATTTCCAACCGAAAATTCTGACTACTTTGGAACGGCTACTATGTTTGTGGACAATTCTGCATTTCACGGGTATTCGACGTAAATATCCCCATAACAAGGGCTTGGAAATTAGAACACAAAGGGTCCTGTAAACTATGAGCTTGTAAACAAAACTGTGTACTTTGTTCCTTTAACCTCAGTTATTGAATCACCTGAGTAGATTTCTCATCTCTAAAGATAGCAGGAACGGTTTCAGGTGTAAAATATTCTTCTCGGACAGTCTCTACTGAACAAAATCTCACCTTCAATACAAAAACAATGCATGTATCAGTAGCAGCTTGTTATTGAGTATCAAGTAGCAGTCAAAGACTTATGTCAGAGCACAAATTTTTGGAAACTCGATGCTCCAATAAGCAAGCTCACCTAAGAGAAGAGTGTCCTACAAGCCTAGGGGCAAGATATGTAGGCCACTAGTTATATGTTTGTTTAAGTTCCTCTTTTTAATCTATGTGGGACAACTAATAAGTGAGTTTTTTTTTTCCCCTCTAACAACCCCAAAACATAGAAGACTTCAACTCTCTGTTTTACATTATTAGGATTTTTAGAAAGCAAGGGAGAAACGACATTGACATATAATAATTGTTTACATTCAGGGTGTTGCATCAGGCTACTGTTGTGCTTTTCTTTCTAACATTTAACTACACTTGATCCTCAGCCACCACTTCAGATGCATTGTGAGTGAAAATGTAGAGAATAGTAATCAGTAGGAAAAAACTAGCAAGTAGAAGTGCTATATTGCAGAAAGAGTCATAAAATCGAACAAGAACAAGCTGATATAATGATATTCATATGAAAGGCGACAGATACAATACCAGAGATGCATGCTGTTTCAGGAGGGGCTTTGCCAGCTGCCAAAGAGGTTTAAAAACAAAAGGCGCTTCCACCATGAGCACCTGGCCCAATCTCTTAGGATAGTAATAGTAGAAGACATCAAACTGCATAAAAGGATATAAGTTAGAACTTCCCAGATCGGCAATTATTTTGCCAAGGCACCAACTTAGTTGTTTCAGAGGTGTTGTTTCATATGCATCATACTCAGCAAAATTTTCTACTGGTCTTTTTTCAATATCACACTGACAATAGAAAAGGTAGGGGATAAGTTGGACTTATAGATTGACTCATTGGTCGCCTCTCCACTAAACATAGTTCTTTATTTATCTTCACCAGAAATTTGCTTATCTAAACAAACTGGAGGTTATTTGAACTTATATTAATTAATCTTTAATTTGGCTGTAAATTGAACTGAGTAACGTTCTTATCTTAACTTATTGGAGTCTTATTGAAACAAAGTATCTGAAATCCTTTTTTCAGGGTGAAAAGAACAGACCACAAGTCTAGTGTGTGTAAATGTGTAATACAGAAACTGTAATTAGGTTGCGACTCAGTAGAGGTTAAATGGTAGATTACCAAAAATGTCAAGAAATTCATATCTGCATTTGCAGTACCAAAGCCCCTGAGGTCGATTATCCCAAGTATCTGTTCTTGGCCTTCTGGGAGCTTGCTCAGAGCTTTCTCAATCTGAAACACGCATAACTTCTCATCCTCATCCTGCATCTGTAATTAGCCCATTATGCATGCATCATCAGATGGGCCTGTGCGAAATAACGAAGGCAAGGGAACATGATAAGTCACCTTAAATTTGAAGGGTGAAATATATTACTTTCAGCCATTAGAGTAGTATAATTCAACTTGATATTCATTCACAATCTTGTAAATTTCTGCAACATGTCTGCCAGACCATTTAGTTTCTTACAGTCTATAAGCTGATATATCTGCTAGCCACTTTTAATAGACAAATGGACAATGCCATGTCATTGCTGCAATCAACATTCTCTTCAAACTAAACCCAACTAACAAAAATTACCCAGAACTTTATATGATATGCTCAGTTGCTCATAGAAATGGCTTTAACATACCAAAAATAATGAATGATGTATTATAGCTTTATAGGCTAACAAAAAATTGATGAACAGAACAAGAAGTTAAAGCTTTGGCCAGTGGAACTAAGGTACTTACTCCTGGGTAATGTTTTGAAGCCTGCACAATAAGCACGGGCCTCCCATTCACATCGAGGAAGTCATGCACAGAGCTCTTGCCTGTTTGAGCAGCCCTTTTCATAGAGTCTTCAGACAGATCATCCACTCCAAACTCTTGACGCCATTTCTTAGATAAATAAGAAAGCAAAACATCAGGCAAAAGTCCAAAGGTTTTTAAATTAAGATGGAATGTGATGATGGGGAGATTCATAATTAAATGTGAGCTGTCAGGAACCATGTTTTGAAAGATCACTGTTACACAGTTTTATATAATACAAAGTAGAAACACGATAATGCAGCTAAACACAAGTGCACTATGGCTCACAGCATTGCCTAAAATGTATAACATGCTCAATACTTGATATACTGTAGCTCAGAATGTTCAAATTAATCATTCCCATCACTTTATCATTTTTAATGAACACTACTAGTCATACATACAATAGCTTTACTCAGCCTTTCCACAGCTTCGTCAACAATGAACTTGCGGTCCTTGAGAAACCAAAGGATCATGCTTTCATCATCACGCCCATTCTTGCCTACAGGGAGCTCGTGATATTGAGTTTTGAGCCTTTCCTTCACTTCCAAAACAAGCTGCAAGTATTCACAAGTCAAAATCATTACAAAAAATCCAGATAGAAACATTAATGTTGCATTCATTGTGATACGCAATAGTCGTTGAACTAGATTTGGTCAATTATGATCCACTATTGTTTCTAATTATGTTCATTCCCACAATCCCACTCAATGTTTCAAATTGACAAACCTGAAGGTTGAAATATCTAAGAAATTTTCTCTGAACATAAACCAATCAAAAGGGAGTTCTTAGAGTCTGTTGATAGCAAACATTCATTGTGACAAATCCAATAAGGCTCCTATCAAAGTGTTAAGCCACTTAAAAACCAAAATTCTGATCAAAGCTTTTCACCTAGTTAAGGGTGGGCGTTGACATTAATTCAGGGACATAAAGACCAATACAAATGAAGGTCTTGGTTCTCGGGTATAGGCTACGAGGATAAAACCTCGGACATACTTAACCAACTAAGCTAGCTGACATCCACTTCACCACATTTTCTTACATGGGCAGTTACCAATTTTCATGTTCCATGTTTTCCTATTTTTGTCCTTCTATTTGAAAGAGAGACATAACCCAATTTCATAGTGATTCACAAAATATAGTTTATTACACAGTTGGATATCAAACAAGAACTCATTCACTTACAATTGGATCATAAACAAAAACTCATTCACTTAATTTTTAATTTTCCAATAAAAGAACACCAAATTGTAATCCTTCAGCAATTTTAATAAACCTATAAACCTAGAAATTAAACAAAAAAAGGAACCCAAATCAATTGCTACCAAAATTAAAGCTAAAATGAACTTATAATCACAAAATAACAACACAAATCAATACCCAAAAGATTAAATCATTGACAAAAAACAATAATTAGCTAAAAGATCAAATCTTGACAAGAAAAAAACAAATAATTATGCACCTTACGAGAATTATCAGCATTAATGGTGCCACTACTGCTGCAATTTCTTACACAAAAATTGCGAAATTTAGCGGGTTTGTTGAAACGAAGTTGTACAGTTGAAGGTGGAAGAAGATAATTTGCATTTATTTTCAGTGCCATTGTTTTCTGCAACAATTTCCTTTCAGTTTTTTAGATCAAAAAATTGTTTTTTTTTTTCTTATAACTAATATACGATGATCCGATCAATGTTAATTGGGTTTTGGACTTGAATTTGGGTTTCCATTCTCCAGAAATGACGATCCGGCAAAATTTGGAACACACAAGATTTTGAGGCCCATTTTATTGCTTAACAAATGGTGGTGAATTGTTGCTTTTTTTTTTCGGTACAATTTTGTTTGTTTGTTAGGTACTTATTTTTTTTTTCCTTGTTTTACTATTAAACTAACAAAACTAGAGTGTGTGTCAAAAAAAAAAGAAAAAGAAAACTAGAGTGAGCCCGTGCAAAATGCACGGGATATATAAGAAAAAATATATTTAAAATATGGAAAGTTGATTTTGATGTTGTAATTTAGACTTGAGCTGTAATGGTCGGTTTTGTTAAACCCTAATTAGCTCTGTTGTACTGAGTATTAATAATCGTATTAATAATGTGCTGACACCTGCTGTGTTGTGCTATGCTATGCTGAAATATGATATTCTATGCTTTGCTTAGAAGCTCAAAAAACAAAAATTTTCTCTTTTATGTCGGTGGCCACACAATTCCATTATGGGGTTTACTTTTTCAAAGTTATAGAGGTTACCCATTCAGTGTTATAGGGGTTACTCGTGTTACTCAATTAGTGTCATATGGGTTAGTGTCTTGCTCTAGGAGTTACATACTTTGTTCTGTTGCAAGTAGTTATTCGCGGAGGCCAATTGCACAAAAACGTGTTGTACATTATGATTAAAGAAGTGGAAAATGTTTGGAGGGTAGTCCCTAAAAAAAATTGCATATAAGGTTGGAGATTTAGAGTACTATAGTGAATTGTCGATAAAGGAACTGTATACTCGTGCTAATGCATGACATATATTATACTATGTACAAAAAAAAATACTCGTAAAACAAAGTGAAATGTTAGTACATAGTGTTTAAAAAAAAGGAAAATTTACAAATTGCAGCCATTTAAAGTTTATATTTTGAAAATTACAGTCATTTAATTTTTTTTTTTTTTTTTTTTTTTTTTTTTGCAAATTGCAGCCCAAAAGTTCGTATAAATTGTAAATTGTAGCCCAATTCAACTTTTACATCGATTTACATGTCGAAAACTCTTCGGTTAAGGTTTTAGGGGCCATTTTATCTCTTAAGAATCCAAATTGAGCTCGAAATTAACAAAAAAAATAACATAAGTGCCTCGTTTTGCATAACAAAAATATATCGATTTGTGGGAAACTATAAATAAAAATGAGACACTTACATTTTTTTTTTGCTAATTCCGAACTCAATTCGGTCTTTTAAGCACTAAAATGGCCCCTAAAACCTTAAACAAAGATTTTTTTTTGACATGTTAACCGATGAAAAAGTTGAATTGGGCTGCAATTTACAATTTTTACAAACTTTTGGGCTGCAATTTGCTAAAAAAAAATTAAATGACTGTAATTTGCAAAATACGAACTTTAAATGGCTGCAATTTGCAAATTTTTCTAAAAAAAAGTGAAATGTTGGGGGTTTTGAGTGCTATAGTGAATTGTTGATAAAAGTATACTCGTGCTTATGCATGTCATATGTTATATAACGTACCAAAAAAAAAAATCACAAAGTGAAATGTTAGTAGTAGTCCCTTGAAAAAAAAAAGAAAAAAAAAAACCAAAAAGAAATAGTGAACGGGTAGTTATTGATTTAAAAAAAATAATAAAAAAACTAAAAATAAAATAGTGGGATTGGTAGTTATTTTTTTTGTTTAAAAAATAAAAATAATAATAAAAAAAATTTAATGCATGAGAGTTGAGCATTTAGATTTTGGAGCACTCTCATCAAAACGACTCTATAATTATATTATAGATTAATAAATATTTGATTATGGGAAATTTAGCATGAAGGGTCTGTTCTATACAGCTTAATTTTAGTTCAGTTCAAGTCCAATCAGTTCAGTTCATCTCCAATCAGATGAGTTCAATTCCGTTTCTAATTTTCTTCTCTCATACACAATTCATTTAAGCTATATATTCAATTCAGTTTAATTCAACCCCAATCAATTCAGTTCAGTTTAGTTCAGTTGTTTTCAGTAAATCAAATAGACCCAAAGTATAGAGTTATTGAATTTTCATTGGAAAAAGTAAGAAATATTTCATCTTTACGTATCACATAGTATATACTACCTCCGTTTCATATTATTTGCAACAATTAGATATTTTTTCACTCTACTTTATGTCAAATCGTTGCAAATAATATACAGCGGAGGTAGTAATATAATAAGAATTAAGAAGTACAGAGTATTGTACATAATAGTTTTTTTTATGTTGAAATCCTACTTTTAGTTTCTTATACTTGAACAGTTGCACTATTTTATTCTATATATTATTTGGTCTTTGATGTTATTAATTAAGGTGTGGCTTTAATAGTTCTCAATTGATTAAGGGTCTAACTTGAGCATAGATTGATTAAGGGTCTAACTTGAGCATAGTTGGAGTATATGATTAGAAAATGATTATTCTTTTGATTATCAAACTTGGTTTCACATTTAAAGTCATCAACTCAAAAATTTGAGTGGTAAAATAATTAAGAAAAATTCAACTCTTGGAAAGTTGATGTCTTTGCTCAATGTGTTATGATCACTAATTCACTATGAAGTGATCATGACACTAACATGAGCAATATAGCCATCATTAAGCACAAAATAGTTTCATCAAATAAATTTATTTCTATTATTACCTTTTTGTTTTAAAATTATTGCAACATGTAAAAAATGTATAATATTTATAAGGGCATGTTCACTTTAGCTTAATTTCAGTTTAGTTCAGTTTAGCTTCTAATTTCCTTCTCTCATAAAATATTCATTTTAACTCATTTCAATTCAGCTCCAATCAGTTCAGCTCAATTCAGTAAATGTGAACAGACACTAAATCCATGTGAATAAGGTGACAAAAAGAATGAAAAGAGGAACAAATGTAATCAGAGATAGAGAAAGATTGTGTGCAACTTGAAAAATGTGGCATTATATATGAAATTTCTATATAAGTAAATTATTGCCATACTTCAAGAACTTAAAAAGTATAACGGCATAAGTGTAACACCCTAAAAATTCCTTTCCTTTAAATACCCATTCTACTCTTTAAAATACGATTTAGGAATAACTAAGACATTACCGCCACCGTGAAAACGGCTAAGGCAATTATCAAAGATACACAGCGGAAGACTCAAAATTTAAAACCGTTTAAACAAGTCAACTCAAAAGTCAACCAAACGAAAATAAAGTTTAAAACCAAACAAACAAAGTCAAATAAAATCAAACTACAACTTGGAACCATTAAAGGCCCTTATTCAAAACCGTTCCAAAACCAAACCTTTGTGTTAGTCCACATAAAATATGTCATAAATAAATAAAGCATAAAACACCTCGTAACCTAATGAAAACTAGTAAGATTCACTCTTCTCTCATGCCCCATCATGATTATGCTTCAATACCTGAAAAGTTTATCTCTACTTGTTTCCACTACTATACTCTCCATTAAAAATAGGTCATCATAGGGCCAAGGTAAAGACATGGCCAAACAACAAACACACACAATCAGCAAAGCTGAGTACATAAGCGTAAATTAACACCACTAACATGCTTTCACCTATCAACACACTTACCTCATTGCACTTGTTTACAAGCACACACATCAATCAACAAAACACAATGACTAGACACTAAATAATTCATTTAGCGTTGATTACGCATCGAACGGGTTTCCTCCTACAAACCTCACCCAAATAAATTGAGGTAAACTGACACGGGAGCTAACCGTGCCAGCGACAAAACCACTCAAAGGTGGCGGAATTCCTGCGCATAATAATAAATAAAAAGGAATGTACAGCGTCCTGTACTCCATTAGAAGTTATGGTTAAATATAAAACCCCATAACTCCCCCCATTGTTCATACTCAAGGTATATACGTTCCAAGAGTTTTGGTGCGTAATCTCTTTCACTTTACGTTATTTACCTTTTATTGGACTTGATGATTGCTCTCAAAGCATCAGAAAACAATCACAATAATTATTCAATCAACCAAATTAATTCTTGAACACTTAATGACCACATATTATTTAATGTTGAACCCTTTTTAATTCTACCTCAGTGTCAAAGACACCTTAAACGCATAAAGCGCCAAAAATCATATCCCTCGGTGTTAAAAACACCTTAAGTGCACAAAGGCACCAACATACAATTTATTCCTTGTGTACATATACACTTATATAGCTCCTTCTCATGCTTAAAGCATCAATAAAAATTATTTGAACCATAATAAAATTCCTTTTCAATATTCCAAACATAATTAAACATGTAATTTAATTAATCATGCCTTCTAACATGCCATAAATAAAAATGTGGTTCAAACACAACATGCCCAAAATATAATCTTCCAATCCATAACCATCACAAATAATTCATGTTTCCCAATTCAATCACAAACACCATAAATTCACAATTCCATACATAAAGCTTAGCATGATACTACTTGTAATTGATTGAAATCAAACCTAGCATGATTCTACATCATCAAAATATGCTAAGTACGCGTACGTACCTTGAGTACGTTTTTAAAATTGCCACGACTAGTAGAAATTGCTTACTTCAAAGTCTCCTACACATTAAATTCATAATAGAGTATTAATATCAACTCTAAACAAATTTCCAGCAATATATACTATTTTAAAACCCCTCATAATTTAATTAAAGTAAGCTGAAATTATATTTAAAACACCATAATTAAGTCCCAATTAATGGGTAATTAAAATTTCTTCAAGAAACATAATATTAAGTGTTCTACATAAAATTCCAGCACTTTATTATGATTAAAACTTGCTGTAATTAAGCTTTAAAACACTTAAAACAAAGGCCTACCCTATTATACATCATAATCCTTCAATAACTCATGAATCAAGAACCTAAGGTTTCAAAAATTGGGGCTTTTTAATTAAAAACCAAATCTGAAAATTAATTAACATAATTACAATAACCAAACATCAAAATTAAATCTCCAAACTCATAATTTACAATTAGATTAAAGCCTAGATTAGATTTGGGTAATAAAGATTTGATTTTTTTTAAAAAAACCTTTTTTTCGAAATACGCGACTGCCGACAGCAGGCCGGCGCCACTGCCGGCTGGTGCTGGTGGTCGGCGGCCCACCGGTGGTG